TCCTTCTCACTTCCTGGCTTGTATGTCTGTCATTTTTTAGCCTCATAGCAATCTGTCACAAATTTCACTGCAAAGGAAACTGTGGAATATTGAGGTCTGTTTATGTTGCTTTTGATCTCATCATTTCTACCCTTCCAGTTTGCCTAACAAAGGGTGAGCCAAAGATCAAACTTATGGTTATCCAAAGAGCGTGCCACATGGGCAATCCATTCCATGGTGTTTTGAAAGTTTTCTCTCGACCGCTCACGTGCTAGATTAGCAAGCTTCCAGGTGTTCTCTATTTTTGTGCACGCCTTCATTGCATGCAGAGCTGTCTCTTCGCCTGTATGGCATCTTAAGCAGTCTGCATTATTCATGATTCGTTTTCTTTTCAGAGTTCCATACACTGGTAGCAGTCCAAGAGCCAGTCTCCATCCAAATATTTTGATTTTGTTTGGAAGCGGGGCCTTCCATAATTTATTCCACACCTCCTTATTCTCCCTTGTTTTGGCTTTACCTGTTGTTCTTTGATCAGTTCCACTGTTCCTACCTTACATACCTAGAAGATGGTACCCACTCCTATCCGTGTACTGTCCGTCTTTGGTGTAGCTCCATATTTGTACATCAGGGCAGTCGACCGAACTGATCGGGATCAAAGTGATTTCATTTCTTGTTTCTGTGGAGAAAAGGTCCTTCAGTATTCCTTCATTCCATTGGCGCGTGTGTCCCAATTTATGAGTTCATGAACCATCATGTAATCTCCACAGCTCTATTTCAGGGTGTTGGTTTGAAGTCATGAATGTTCGGCACACATTTGTCACTCCAAATCCTGATTTGCTGGCCATTCCCAACCCTCCACCTCATACCCAACTGTAGAACATCTCTCCCCATACATATACTGCGCCATGAGAAAGATGGTTGTCGCACCATCTCTGCCTCCAATAATGATTTCCTTGCAAAGTGTTTTGCTTCTAAAACCTTGTAAACCAGAGAGGATTTGTTGTTTAGTAGTCTCCATCCCTGCTTCGCAATTAGCGCCTTATTTAAAAGTTAGAAGACTCTGAATCCCAGCCCGCCCTCCAGCTTGCTAAAACACATGTCCTTCCAACGCACCCAATGTATTCCTTTGCTTCCCACCTTCTGTTTCCACCAATAGTCACACACTACTCTATTGAGATCATTGCATAGGCTTTGTGGGAACAAAAAACATGACATTGCATAAGTTGGGAGAGCTTGTAGGATAGACTTTATGAATACTTCCTTACCTTCTTGCGACATCCATTAGTTGCTCCAACAATGGATTCTCTTTCCATTTTCTCCACTATCTCCCGAAAAGCTTTTTTGTTATTTCTCTCTACTATCATAGGCAGCCCTAAGTACTTTTCAGGATTACTTGTACTCTTGATCCCAAACAGCTGCTTTATGATCTCCACTTTGTCGTTACTAGTGCTGCGACTAAAAAACAAACCCGACTTCTCATAGTTTATTTTCTGCCTCGACCATTCCTCATAAATCTTTAACAAGTGTTTGACCCTCTCATATTCTTTTTGGTTTGCCTTCATGAATAGCAGACTGTTATCCGCGAAAAAGAGAAGAGTGATCCGTAGGCCATTTACACTAGCTCGGACTCTTTTTAGCTTGCCTTCCAGTTGATCATTTTGAAGAAGTGCGAATAATCCCTTCGTGCAAAGAATAAACAAATAGGGTGATAGGGGATCACCTTGCCTAAGTCCCCTTTTTGGAATAATCATATCAGTTAAAGTGCCATTTACAATCACATTGTAAGAGACAGAAGAAATACAATGCATAAGGACAGACACCCACTTCTCATTAAGGCCCATCCTCTTCATAATAGCTTCTAGAAAACCCCATTTCACCCTATCATATGTTTTGCTCATATCTAATTTAACAACACTCCATTCTTCCTTACCCTTTCGTTTGGATTTTAGTGTATGCAGGATTTCATAGGCAATGAAAACATTATAAGTTATCAATCTACCTGGTACGAAGGCACTCTGGTTTTCATTTATACGAAAAGGAAGGATCTGTTTAAGCCTCTTAGCTTTCAAGGATACCAGGACAGGACAATGAGCAGAGTGGGTTCTTGGTAAGTGCCTCACAACAGCTCTAGAGAACCTTAAGAACCAGGCAGTGTTGGCAAAAGCACGATCAATTCTTTCTTGTAAGAGGTCAGTGATTTTCCTATTATTTGTCCAAGTGAAACGGGTTCCAATAAAGCCTAAGTCTACAAGCTGGCAATGGTCAAGACATTCATGAAATAACCTTGACCTAGCAAAAGAGATGGGGGCACCTCCTTTTTTATCCTCAGATGAAAGAATTTCATTAAAATCACCTACTCCTAACCATGGGAGATTATGATGATCAGCAACAGTTTTTAAATTCTCCCATAACAACTTACGTTCATGTAACCTAGGACTAGCATAAATGGCAGACAAAAACCCAAGCGATATTAGAGGATCTTACCCTTACAGTGGCATGGATCTCTTGTTCTGTTGCACAGATATCACTCACATTCACCAAGTCTGACCTCCATAATAGCCATATGCCTCCTTTAAAGCCAATGGTGACGGTATGCTTCCAAGCATCAAAAGGAAGATTGTCAATGATATGCCGCACGTCCGCTCTACGAGCACGAGTCTCGGTAATCACCATAAGTTCTTGTACATGCATGCTTACAAGCTCTCTGGCTGTACGGACAAAGTCATGGTGTCTCGCCCCCTACAATTCCATAGTAGAACTGACATTGATTGTGTGGATAATTGGCTCATAGTTCTCCTTTGGAACTGTTGCATGAATTGCTCCTCCAATGGGGTCCTTCCTGACCCCACTATGTTCATTTTTGGGTAGATTTTTGTCTTGTGAACGAGGGTCTCTTCCACTAGCAGAATGGAGGAACTTACGCAAATGCGAAATTGTTGGACCATCGGGTTGACTCTGATCTTCATTACCATTACTTTTGTCCTGTTCATCATCACCTCTACGGGTTGTTTTGCTAGCTGCATCTCCTGGATTGTCAGCATCCATATTGGGGGTTTCATCTTTCCTAGTATCCAAGAAGGATCCTGATATTGTGTGGAGTTTGATGCTTCTAAGTTCAACACTGGCTTTGGAAAAATCAAGAGGGGCAGTGTTGGTTCTTTCCTCATTTCTATCTCGTTCTTTGCTCTTGTCACTGGTCGATCTCCTTCCTTTGTCACGTGGTGAAATCGACCTTCTGAGTCTGCCTTCAGTGAACGAATGAGAGGTTTGCTTCTCAAGGCCGAACGAGAATTCTGTGGTGGTTGTTGTTGTACGTGGTTGCTCCCTTGAGATGCTACTGGCTCCCATGTTCTTTGTTGCCCATAGGTTTGGGCAGCTTAGGCCCATAGCCAATCTGCTTGATTTCTCCCTCGTTCCCTGCAAAATCGAGTTCTCTCGCTCCCTATCATCTTGTTGGTTGCAGGTCCACAGATGCGCCTGCGTTGTTGGTTGATGGGGTGGGGGGGGAGGAGGATCATGGTTAGTATTTTCTTTTTGGATGCTTGAGTTAGGCGAGTGATTATTTTGCTTTGCACTGGTTTCTTTATTTTCAATTTTAATTTGACATAAATAGATCATTCAATTTTTGACAAATCAGATCTCTAGAGCTAATTCATTTTTTGGTATAAGTAGATTATTTCAATTTTCAACTACTTGAATCCCTAGTTCTAATTCATATTTTATTCCCACATCGTGATTACTATATGGTAGCATTTTTTTTCTTACATAATAAATTTCATTTATTAGTATTTTTTTCATTAAAACTGCTACAATAATCAAGATGCAAAATAATTTAAACAAAGTGGAAAGATCATTGTAACAAATTAACTTGATAACTTTATAGAATGTAAACTTCCGAATCATTTCCTTTCTTTTTATATATGCGGGCAAATGAAGTTTTTTGGGCGCATATGATGCAAAAAAAAAAAAAAAAAAAAAAAAAACTTCTTTATTTACTAATTTGTTTATATTAGTAGTAATCTATAACTTTTAATATTAAATTTTTTTTTTTACACATGACGATTAATCCAACTAAGAAAGGAAGAACCTCAATTTTTGTTGATTAGGATTTGACTCGTTTGTGAAATATTTTAAAAAATAAAATCACGAATGAACCAATTAATATGAAAAAAGGCATCCTTAAAATCATTTAAAAAAAATAGATTCCGATAAAATTTGAGAATGCCTGCAACTTGTTTTATCAAAATTTTTTATTTTTGTTCTTATAAACACTTAAAGTAATGTAAACTAGATGAATAAATGTTAAAAGCACTCAAATACTTCGTTGAATAAAAGATGCATGTGTCTCACATTTAAAGAGTTCTCTTCAAATAAAAATTTTTTTTCCCGCTAATCAAATCAAATGGCTTATATGGATTCTGGCCCTTCCAGCCAGCTAATTCAAATTGACCCCAATGTTGAGTCTTGACTGCCTTCGTGCCTTATTGTTTGTGTCTTTGTCATTTTAAATAATTTTTTTTTATTTAGTACAATTTATATTGAAGTTTAAAAATCTTTTTATATAAACTTTAAAAAGCAAAGCATAGTAAAAATAAAATAAAATTGAAAAGCTTATGAAAAATTAATTTAAAATACAAAAATAAGAATATCACATGTTCAAAAATAAAAAGATAATTTTAAAATATTTCAAAAAGTTTATCAAGTTGAGATTAGTTACCCTATAATCACTTTTAAAAGTAATATCTAATAAATTTAAAATTTAAATTTCAACACTTATAATCCTACCCTTACCTTTTTGTGAAAAGAAAAAAAAATTATAAACCTGTAACAACCTTAATTTATTCAATTATTTTGTAATTTTCTTTGATATTCAAAAATTTCCCAATGAACTTCAATAGTTTTCAAAGTTTTCATTTTAAAGGGAAAAGAAAGATTAGCAAGTTTTACAGTGAAAGAGCACTTTCACCAGAGCAATGAAAGTTCTTGTTATGGAAGTTGAGAAAGGAGAAAGACCAAGTATCTTAAGTAGCGCAAACACACCATTTATCCCTGCTGCTAGAAGGCAATACATACCACAAAGAAGCATTACCAGGTGATCATATCGATGTCCATCAAACCAGCACAAATAAACACTTGCAAATAGGGGCGAACGTAATGCCAACCAATCAACAAGGAATATATTCCTCAAACTGCAACGATCTCCTCCCTAACATGGACTTCGAACATGTTTATCAATCAAGGGGACACCTAATGAGACAAGCAGCCAACTTACATAAAACTTCACTATGATGTGCTTAAGACACAAAGGGGTAGAGGGAGAAGCATCATATTTCATTACACAAATCTTCACTTTGATCCTGGACTCTTTTAGATTTTATCCAGCTTCTCAGCCTTGACCACAGGGTTGGCTTTAGCAATAGCATCACGAGCAGCAGTCCGATAATCAAAAGGACAGTCATGTTTGTCAGAGTAACGATGAGCTGCACAGAAGAGGTTTCCACACCTGCAATTAAATCCTGTCAAACCAACACGCTTACAGCATGTGGTACACCTATTGGGACCCTCCTTTGTCTTCATCCCGCTGAAAGTCATTCTGGATGGATCAATGGATGGTTCTACTGAGATGATCTTTGACTCGACATTTTCAGATTGTACATCCAAAACAGCAGCCACAGGTGGCTCCTTACCATTCCCAGTAGAGCTGCCATTCACAATGCTTCCAATGGAAGATGCTGCAAGTTGCGCCTGTTCCTGCTTCAGGATCATTGCCTTGTGACACTTGGAGCACATATTCAATGTAGCTGCACTTCCAAAGAAGCCACAGTTGTTGACACACAGGATAGGGCCTTCTGGAGCTTGGCACCCTGTCTCATCATGAGACTCCATCTTCTCTAATCTCCTGTACGGAAACAACCTTACTATCAACGATTCAAAATAAAGGAGGAACCCTAAATAATAAGAAAAGAAAAAAGAAGAGTGGAAGAACCAGAAGTGATTCGACTCCACAGGATGGATATGAATAAATATCAGACGGAAACAAGCAGGCCACTTTATATACCTAGAGGACATGTGCACATACTAAGCATGTAAATGATCAATTTGCTCAATAAGAATTAGTAACTAAGACTGATTATCTCCATCATGATTCATGAATCAACATTATATCAGACACCAGGCATAAATTCATTGCTAATTGTAGGGATCTTAGGTGATGCAGATAACTAGTTTACTTACAATGGAGCCCTTAAATAGACAATACTGAGTCAGCTGACAATATTACCAATCAAGGGAAAAAATGATGAAAATAACAGGCATGGGCAACAAAGGAGGATGTGTGAACATCAATACTCCAAGGAGCTAAGGGAGCGGGAGCAAGAAAGAACATCATGAGGCTGCAAATACCAATAACACATACATATGTCTAATATGCAGCAACCTTACATCAGTTTAGCAGGATAGCATGCTGGTGTTGCTGGAAACATAGGTTTCCCATTGACCACAAGTTCCAAAATAAATTCTCATAACCCACATGCTCATAACCATGTCCATTGTATCTAGGTTATACTGTGCACATACTGGTGTTGCTGGGAACATAGGTTTCCCATTGACCCCAAGTTCCAAGATAAATTCTCACAACCCACATGCTCATAACCATGTCCATTGTATCTATGTTATGCTGTGCACATGCTGAACAGTGAACAATCAGTAGATTGGGTGCAGATTGGTTCTCAGTCCCGTCCAATCATAGAGTAAAAGCATCTTTGTCATTGTTAAAAGGCAATAACTGCCCAACTGCAATAGAGAAAATTAGTTCACTTCATGCAGAATTAAACTAGGGCTCTTTCCCTATATCCTCCCTAGTAAACATTTCTCAGAAAATTTTTCATTTTTATAAATACCATTAGCCTCAGAAGGAAGCATGCAATCCGCACTGCCTTCTAGCTCATAATTAAAAGATATAAAATGATCTTAATTGACATTAAAAATTCTTAACAAGCCAACACTAACAGCATACAATTTTATGGTTTCACATTAAAAATAAAAAAAGAAAAAAATTATGGGTTCAAATATTTAGCAAAACCCTAAAAACCCAAATGACCCAAAACTTTCGTAGCGCAAATCATTACAATTAAATCAAAAGAAACCTAAATTATCAAAATAAAAAGAAAACTAATCGAAGAAATAACTTTAAAAAGAAAAAAGTGGGAGAAAACCCCTTACCTGAAATTTCAATTTGGCCGATCTTGTCTGACAAATTGAACCCGGTGATTCCTGTCTCATGCAAATCAAATACACATTTAAAATTCAATTTTAACTTGAAAATTTTTAAAAAAAAGAAAATTAATAAAAGAAGTAAATATTAATATCATCAGAAGAGACAAAAAGCAGAAAAAAAGAAAGCCTTACCTTAATCTAATTTATGTATGATAATCGGAGAAATCGATACGAGAAGGAGAGAGAAATTTTAGGTGATATAATATTTTTTTTCGAACTTAATTTTGTTCTCTCTCCCTTTTCCTCCTGTTTAAAAGACTACTACTTTTTCGCTGCCAACCAACGCTTTCCACTCAGTCGGTGATGCTCGACTCACTGCCCTTGGAAAAGCTTATGTTTAGAATTCTACCCTTGATTGTGTATTACGTGGTTATTATTTATTGGGTTAGTAAGAAACGGAGTTTTGAGATTAATCCGGCCTGTTGGGCCTACCTGAGCCCAAATAGCTTTCTAGTTTAGGTTGATCATGATTTTATGAGACTTTTATACTTGCTATACATAGTGAATTATAAATTATTATATGCTAATTTTAAATATTATACGAAAATAAAAAAAAGTATGATTTAAAATTTGATAAAAATTAAAAAATAAATCTTTTATTTGATGTATAAACATGCATTTATAATATGATAATTTTTTTTCATGTGTTTTATACGAAATAAATATGATTAAAATATACTAAAATTTAATTTAAAAAATTTCTTAAAAAATAAGGGCAACATGAATAAGTAAGAGAGGCTATGTGGTTTTCTTTTCTTTAGACTTTTTAGATTAATTCTAATTTTTTTGCCCCCTCCATAGGCACTTCTGTTTTATGCTTTATTCAGATGATAAGCTTAAGTTGCACTATCTCATGAATATACTTGATGAGGCAATAGCTTTTTTGAGGCTTTCTTACAGCTTTAATTTACACAAAGTGGCTTAGAAATTTTATGTTCTATAAGCACAATTAAAGTTTTGCATCCACTACCAACAATTGTGATATGTTAGTAAAGTATTAAAATTTTAATTTTAATAAACAAAATTTAATTCTGATAACTTTGATTAAAAAAAAAATCTAGCATCTAGTTCCTAGCTGGTTTTCAATTTAAAAATGGATGACCAAAAGCCAATTAAATAAGTTATGGATCTTCTATGGTGAAACCATTTAGTGCCTATTCCTTTCGGTGTTTATAATGATGCTGCTAAAGAAGGGTTTTCTTCTTCCTAGAAATGTTAATCAAAACATAGATTCCATTTCATCGTGATTTTGCAGTTTAAGAATGAGTGAGCTACATTGATTATTCCACTAGTGTTTCAAATTACCAAAATTAGGATTGTGGGTAATTTTGAAGCTTATTGAATTCTTGTTAGGAAGAGTGGGGTTCAACCCCATTGAGTTTTACTAATTAAAAGGCTTAAAGTTTTTTTTGTCTTTAACTTAAGAGAGCCTTACTTTATATAAAGCCTTAAACAATAAAAAGAGGCTATAATAGAGAAATAGAAGGTGGTGGCATCGAAACCAAGACAAAGAAAAAAAGTCAAAAAAATAGAGAGAAAATAAAGAAGAAAAAATTGGTTGAACGGAAGTCGATCTGTGGTTCGATTGAGTTAAAATTTTGTCAGTAGATTTATGATTCAGAGTTTTACATTCTAAATGGTGAAGATTGGATTTGAAGTTGTCTAAGAACAAATCGAGAGTATATTTATTGAGTTACCTATTTGGTGAGATTTCTTTAATTATCTCTCTAGTTGTTGATTAGCTCTAGTTTTAGCTAGAGAAAAACTTTGTATAACCATTGTTTGATAGTGAAGATTGTTTTGGTAGTCCGAAATTTTTTCCTTTACACTAAAGGGATTTTTCACGTAAATCTTGATGTGCTTTTATTTTTCTTGCATTATTAATTATTAATTATTATCTATTACTGTAGATTTATTACGATATATTACTTCTGCGTTATTGTGTTTATTACTTCAAACCCAACAAGTGGTATCCGAGCAAGAGTTATTTTGAGACATCGATATAGAAGTAGCTTAAGATATAAGTAAATTTTATTTGAGATCATGAAGAGTGATACAAATTTCATGATAAAATTGATAGCATCAAATTATTCAATTTAGAAGCATATGATGAAAGATCATTTATATTGCAAAGATCTGTATGAATCAGTATTGGATGATTCGACTAAACCAATAAATATGAAAGATGAAAGCTGAAAGAAATTAGACAAAAAAATGCTAGTTACAATAAAAAAAATAAGTTAATATTAGCGTGTTCTATCATGTAACGTAAGAGATAGATACTCACACTATTTTAAAAAAATTGACATCATTGTATGAGAGAAAAATAGGTATGAATAAAATTATGCTAGTTAAAAAACTTACAATTTTACAGTACAAGGATAGACGATTAATTACAAAATACTTGAGTAATTTTCAAAATATATTAATCGGATGCTACCATAGAGCTTAAGATGGATGATGAAATGAAGGCATGATATCTTTTAGGTTCATTGTCAGATAGTTAGAATATTCTAGTTGTGACTATTTTTAATTCAGCTCTTAATTATAAGGTGACATTGAAGATGATAAAAGATAGTATGCTTAATGAAGAAGCATAACGAAAAGATTTAGACCATAAAAATTAAGCTCTGGTCACAGAGAACAAGGGTAGAAATATCAATAGAAGTCAAAACTTAAAATGTCATAGTAAGTCTAAATATAGATCCAAGTCCAGAGATAAAATGAAATGCTTTCATTATGGTAAAGTAGGTCATATAAAGTGATACTATAAAATCTTAAAGCAAAAGCGAAAAGATGAGAAAGGCAAGACTTTAAGTGATGATAATGTTGCAACAGTAAATACAGATAGTGATGCAGTTACTTTAATTTGTACACATAATGATTATAATTATGTTGGTAATCCCAGTATTGAGTTGATAGTTGACATAAAAGCTACATATCATTATATTTTTAAGAGAAAGTTGTTTATAATTTACAAAATAGAAGGCTTTGATTGTACTAAGATGAGAAACAATACTGTGTCACAGATTGTTGAGATTGATAATATTATTATATAAACTAGTACAGGCTTTATGTTGACTTTGATAGATGTTAAACACATTTAGGATATGAGAATTAACTTACTTGTTATTAATATCCTTAATAAAGAGGGATATGAGAGTTGACAAAAGAATGGGTAGTGAAAGCTTCGTAAAAGATCTATAATAGTTACAAAAAAAAATTATACCGTATAATATATAAGACATAGATGCAATTGAACGACAATCAGATAAATGTCGATAAGGATGATGCTTTAGCAAACTTGTGGCATAAAAAACTAGCACATATGAGTGAGGAAGGGTTACAAGTTTCGGCAAGGCAATCTCTCATTACCTTAACCAAAGGTATGTCCATCAATTCATGTGATTATTATTTGTTTGGCAAGTATCGTAAAGTTCTTTTTTGTAAGAGTTATTTTTGTCAGAGTTTTCAGAGAAAAAAATATATTAGAATTGATTTATTCTGACGTATGTGATCCCATTAAGGTTGATCATTTGGTGGTAGCAGGTTTTTATTTTGATTTTTATTAATAGTCCTCTATGTAACACTTAGGTGTATATATTGAAAAACAAAAGCTAGGTATTGTAATATTTTTAAAAATTTTATGCTATGGTGAAAAAGATAACAGGATTGCTATGGTGAAAAAGATAACGTGATTGTCCTTAAAATGTATTCAGATTGATAATGGTAAAGAATACATATTTAAAGACTTTAAAAAATACTATTCAAAGCATGAAATCAGGCATGAATGATAAAACTTTGAACACTATAATATAATGATGTAGTTGAAAGGATGAATCGCACTATTATGAAAAAAGTTAGATGTATGTTGAGGATGACAAAATTATCAATACCATTTTAGGGTGAAGCAGTCAACACAGTTTGTTATTTACTTAATAGATTACCATCAGTTCTTTTGGGCTTTAACATTCCAAAAAAAATGTAGACATGAACATAGAAAGATGTTTTATACTCTCACTTAAAAGTTTTTGAGTGTAAACTATTCATGCATATGTTAAAAGAGCAGATGTCAAAGTTTAATAGTAAAGTTATACAATGTATGTTTATAAGATATAGTGATGAAAATTTTGATTATAGAGTATGGGATCTAGTGAAAAAAAAGACAGTCAAAAGTAGAAATGTAGTCTTTCATTAAAAAGAAACTATAACGACTTTGAGAAAAATGAAAAGGTTACACAAATTACTGTTGAGTGTGATATTTCAACACTGATAAGAGTCCTACAAGAAAGAGCCATAGATAGTGAAAATGAACAAGAAATAAAACTTGGATATATGAATGAATCAGTCACAGTTAGTGATGAGCCAAATGCAATAAGTTTTGAAAAAAAAAAGTAATATTCTCTACTTGAGAGTGTTAAACAGGGTGAGCAATCTTTTTCATCAGAGAGTGTTGAGTAGAAGGAGTTACTTTCGGCATCAGGTAGTGTAGAGTCTCAGCGCAAGAGATATACTAAAGTGCACAGGTCATCTATTAGGTATCCAAGTTTAGATTTTATTTTAGTTATTAGTGAGAAGTAGCTAGAAAGTTTTCAAGATGTGCAAACTACTTCGGATAAAGGGCACTAGTTAAAAGTAATGAAAGAAGAGATAGAGTTATTACAAAAAATGGTACATATGATCTTGTTAAACTTTTGAAAGAAAGGAGATCGTTGAAGAATGAATGGGTATTCAAGTTGAAAAAAAATGGTAACAAACTAGTGAGGTACAAAATTTAATTTATGGTAAAAAAATTTTCTTAAAAATCAGACATCAATTTTGATGAGATCTTTTTTTTCGTTTTAAAGTTAAGTTTTATTCGAATGATACTAGAATTAACAGTTAGTTTGAATTTTGAGCTGGAGTAACTTGATGTCAAGATTGTATACTTACATGGTGACTTGTAGAGGACATTTATATGAATCATCAAAAAGGTTTTGAAATGAAAGGGAAAGAGCACTTAGTTTGTGAACTAAAAAAAAAAACTTGTATAGCTTGAAACAAACTTCGTGATAGTGGTACAAAAAGTTAGATTCTTTTATGGTGAGCCATAGCTATAAAAGATTAGTAACGGATCCTTGTGTGTATGTCAAAAAAAATTTTGATGATAAATTTTATTATTTTCTTATTATATGTTGATGATATGTTAATTATAGGATAAGATGTTGGTAAAAAATTTAACTAGTGAGGTACAAAATTTAATTTATGGTAAAAAAATTTTCTTAAAAATCAGACATCAATTTTGATGAGATCTTCTTTTTCGTTTTAAAGATAAGTTTTATTCGAATGATACTAGAATTAACAGTTAATTTGAATTTTGAGCTGGAGTAAATTGATGTCAAGATTGTATACTTACATGGTGACTTGTAGGAGGACATTTATATGAATCATCAAAAGGGTTTTGAAATGAAAGGGAAAGAGCACTTAGTTTGTGAACTAAAAAAAAAACTTGTATAGCTTGAAACAAACTTCGTGATAGTGGTACAAAAAGTTAAATTCTTTTATGGTGAGCCATAGCTATAAAAGATTAGTAACGGATCCTTGTGTGTATGTCAAAAAAATTTTTGATGATAAATTTTATTATTTTCTTATTATATGTTGATGATATGTTAATTATAGGATAAGATTTTGGTATGGTTCATAAGTTGAAAGAATAATTATCTAAGTTCTTTGAGATGAAAAATTTAGATCCAGTAAAGTAGATTCTCGATATAGACATTATCCGAGATAAAAAAATTGAAAAGCTATAGTTGTAACAGTAAAAGTATGTTGAACAAATACTTAATAGATTTAACATGTAACATGTTAAATCAGTTAGCAGTCCACTTACCAATCATTTTCATCTGAATAAAAAATTTTATCTGATGACTAAGACAAAGCAACTAGTTTTGTCTAGTAGTCATTATTCTTTTGCAGTCGATTCTTTAATATATATTATAGTTTGTACATGACTTGACATTGCTTATGTAGTTGGTGTAGTGAGCAGATTTCTTTATAATCCAAAAAAGGTTCACTGAAAAGTAGTGAAATAAATTTTTAGATATTTAAAGAACACATTAAAAATGTGCTTAAGTTATAAAGTTTCACAACCAGTTCTAGAAGGGTTTACTGATGTTAATATGACAGATAATCTTGATGATAGAAAATTCATTTCAAGATATTTGTTCTTTTTTGTAAGATGAGCTGATTTTTAACAGTCTAAGTTACAGAAGTGTGTTGCTTTGTCAACTATAGAGACTGAGTATATTATAGCAATCGAAACAGGTAAATAAATGCTTTGGATGAAACGTTTTCTTCTTGAATTATACTTGAATCAGAAAGAGTATGTGATATTTTGTGATAGCTAGAGTGCTTTAGATTTGAGTAAAAATGCCATGTACCATGCTAGAATGAAGTACATTGATGTTAGATATCATTGGTTATGTTCGATGATTGAGGAACAATAGATGCTGTTGACAAAATCCATACTGATAAAAATGTAGCAAATATGTTAACTAAGGTAAGTTTTAAATAAAACTGTTATGGTGATAAATCTCCTCCTAATAGGGTTGAAGGAGGAGATTGTTAGGAAAAATGAAGTCCAGCCCCATAGGTTTTGGCCAATTAAAAAGCCTATAGTTTTTTGTCTTTAACCTAAGAGAGCCTTACTTATATAAAGCCTTAAACAATTAAAAAAAAGGGTTATGTAATAAAGAAATAGAAGGTGGTGGCATCGAAACCAAAAGAAAGAAGAAAAGCCAGGAAAGATAAAGAAAAAAAGGGAGAAGAGAGAGTTAGTTGAACAGAAGTCAATTTGTAATTCGATTGAGCTAAAATTTTATCAATAATTTTATGATTTAGAATTCTACATTCTGAATGGTAAAAATCTAGTTTGAAACTCTCTAGAAACAAATTTAGGATTTATTTGTTAAGTCACATATTTGGTGAGATTTTTTCAATTATCTCTCTAATTGTTGATTAGCTTTAGTTTTAGATAGAGAAGAACTTTGTATATCCATTATTTGATAGTAAAAATTTTTCTTGTGGTCTGTGATTTTTTTTCTTTATATTGAAGGGGTTTTTCATTTAAATCTTGGTGTGCTTTATTTTTTTTATATTGTTGATAGTTGATTGTTATCTATTACTGTGAATTTATTACGATATATTACTTTTACGTTTTGTGTTTATTGCTTCAGGCCCAACAATTCTTGTATCAACTAGAATGTCCTATGTAAAGAAAATAAGGATGTGGATAATTTTGATGCCTATTAAATTCTTACAGGTTTTTTATGCTTTATAATTTTATAGAGATGATAATTCGTATATTTATATTGTGTATAACATTAATAATTTGTATCTTCATATTATATTTTATACTTTTTTTCTTTGCTACCTAGTAGAACTTAAAGACCAAAGTCGAATTTAAGACTTAATTAGTTAGTTTAAGATAACATCTAGCAAGATGGATTCAAATCTGAACATACGTAACCTTTTTCCTTATTTTGGACCGCGGCCTCCCTTATGAAAAAAACTAAAGCCTACCAGAAATGGTCAACGAAAGCATCTCAAATCAAGCCACCAGCCAGTCCCTTCAGGAGGAAGTGGAAGTGAGTCTTGTATTGGGTATTTTCTATACGTTTTCAAGATAGTTACCTTAGCCAATTATGACGTAAAAATATTTGCCTTTTTTTCTTCTGGTCGTTTAACAGATCAAATAAACAGTCAGAATCAGATCTATTTGCAATTATATCTCAGCACCGAATTGGGAGGAAAGAACAGTTTGATTCCATGCTTTCATCACCGGTGTCCAAATAAGGAGGTAATGCAGATTCTGAACCCACTGAAGTAGAATTTGAAGCTGCGCATAGGAAAGTTGAAAACCAAAAGGCCTCCAGCAAATTAAAACAGAAGTGACATTAGGTCTTATCTAGATTTTATTCTAGGATTGTTCCTGTAAAAATTTGGATTTCGTGAGAATTCCACAAATTGCCCTATCTGCTCCGAAAAAGGAACATTGAAAGTTGCCTTTGTTATTTGCATTTGTCTTGAGTTATCTGCTATTTGATGAAAGGTTTTGGATGAAGTTATATTATGCCTACTGCGACTATAAAATACAGTCAGGTTGTTAAGTAACCTATCTGGTATCCAGTAGGTGAGTTATGATAAAGTCTATCCCCACCACCATTATGATGTGCTATAACAGCAATGAATGGTTGGGTGATGATGCTTAATAAGTAGCTACTTGAAGTTGGATTTGAAGAAAGCTGGTGGTTAGGAAATGTCTTTCTTAGAAGGATAGAAGCGGTTTGAACTCATCAAAAGGAGAGGATACAAATTATATCAATTTTTTCATAAAAAAAAAGTCGTAGATTGAGAATAGATAATATGATTGGACATGTTGGGATTTAAATTTCAGATCTACTAAATCTCTGCATGCATGAACGTTAAATTCTGAATTCACAATTTATATCATTTCGAGTTTTTTGACTTAAAAACTTAGGAAGGTTTATGACTTTCTGTTAATCTAGATAGAACAAGTTGTTAAAGAGTGCTATTTTGAAAGTAAATTAAAGATCTACTTCAAGGCTGGTAGAAGGAGCAACTTGAAGATTCTTCAACGGCCAAACATGGGCACCATGAATTTGAAACGTTTGATTGCCAAGTTCAAAACGCGTGAATAAGGGCTTTTTTCAAAAATGGTTCCAAGTTGTTTATCCTAAGGACTGAGGAATGAGACTAATCAACTGCTTGGTCCCCCACTCCAGCTGTGGCAACGAATGACATGAAAACGTTGATCCAGAAAAAGACAAAGTTTTTAGGTTTGATAGCGTAGGTGCGGGAGAAACTGCTTGGCTTAGAATGGAAAAAATGCGTCCTTGAAAGTAGTAGAGAGATGGGGCCCCTTGTCTCTTCCCAAATTTTGTAGGTTTTCCAGAGTGGATTAAGCGACCCCCTTTGGTGTCTTTTCATGCTGCTCAATTTTAGGGTCCAAAATTTTGCCTTTGTTGTTCAATTGGGATCTGAGAATAGTACAATGTCTAATTTCACCTTGTTGAAACTGTTAATTACCATACTGCTTGTCTTTAACATAGGTTTGGATGTATCGGTTATGTCAAGCTCATGTGTTTAATATTTTATTTTATTTGAACTTTGAGATGATTATATATATATAATGTTTCATTACCATATTGGAATACTGCAAGGTCTATTATCATATTAGTAAAAGTTTAAATTTATATTTGGGAGATCCTCATAATAAAATTATTAGATTGATTAAAACAAAAAAAATCTTTCAAATTAGTGTGAATTTTTATAAAATAGTAGGAGAATTTTTATATTAAAAAAAGAAAGAAAGAGAAATAAGATTGTGTTCTGGATGTCATAATGAGCCATAGCCCTAATCTATAGTGACATAATACCTCATTGTTTTGACAAAAAAGCTAATTCAGATGGGGGCATTTGTTAGTCTGGATTTGTACTGTCTCTTAAATAAAGCAACAAAACAACTGCTGTATAAGCCCCAAAAAAGGAGAAGCTTGACTGGATTGATGATTCCATTTTTCTATTACCATCAAAAGACTCGGAAACAAAATGATTATACCCAATTAATGATTCACATTTCATATGTTAAAGGTGCACATCATGAAAATTTTTTTTAATCTTTAAAAAAAAGTTTAAGCCAACCAAAAACACCTGAAATCCAGTGGTGCCCAGCACACGCATATAAAATGCGAAAACCCAAAAAACCAAAACACCCCTTGATTGACACGTTTTGGAACATTAAAAAATTCTATTAAAACTTTTTAATTTTATAAATTTTAAAGTTTGGTTTTTATAATTTTTCAGATGGTGACATCACAACTGGATGCTAGGAAACATTCCCTGGTTTATTTTTGTTATGTAAGTGATCTCCCATGAATCTGCAAATGCAGGCAATACCTTTACCTTGTACTTCGGTCTTTCTCTCTGTCTTTCCATGTCCTTTCCGCTTGGTAGAACTCTTTTGAATGAAATAATCAAGTTTCCGACCAAGTTATTACAAGTTTTATTTGGATTCCTGTATTGGCTAATGCTTGACTTTGTCCTTCCACCTCTTTAGTCTTTTCTTTCCCATTTCATTAATTAATTTGGTCAGTAAGTTATCAACCTTCTATTTTTTTAAATTATATTTTAAGGGTTGGATGTTGCTTTTACGGGAGTTTGTCCTTCCACTTCTATCTCTATCTCTATTTCTATCTCTTTCTCTTTCTCTTTCACTTCTATTCCACTGTGCTACCATCATTGTCAAATTTAGCTTTACTCAACTTTGTGTGTTTCATTTTTACCTTTAAGATCATAACATTTTTGCTTTCGGAGAGCTGCAATAGTCTCAAAGGTTTAATCTTTTTCAGCAGTTTTACTCTACGGGTTTCTGGGTTTCTTTTTTTTTTTTTTTGGCCTTTTCATCAAATCTTATTTCTGTTCCGTCTTTGCCTTTGCATCAAATTTTGGAGCTTGTCTTTTTCTTGCTTATTAACTCGCTTTAGCTGAGAGTTCTGAAATGGGTTTTTTGTTTTTTGTTGACGAATAATAGATTGGATCTTTCATCTTTGGTCTTTTGAAGGTCTCCATGGAGAGTGATAATGGTGATGGCAAGTCCAAGATGGAAGATTACGAAGTTTTAGAACAGATTGGAAGAGGAGCTTTTGGAGCTGCTTTTCTTGTTCTCCATAAACTTGAGAAAAAGAAGTAAGTATTTTCTCCTCATTTTATTTCTTGTTGCAATTTGTTTTTCCCTTAATTACCTCGAGGCTTGATCTTAGAGGAGCATAAATAGAAAAGTTTGAGGAAATGATATGAAGTTTCATTTTTTCCCCAAAGAAATGATAGTTCCAAGCAATAAATTTCCATGAACTTGTTAATGTTTAGGTTGTTCTTTGTTTTGATATCTTACTAATGAATTTCTGGAATGCAAAAATCAAGATTTCTGTGATTGGTTTTATACCAAAGACTATATTCTGCATATGTGGCCTTAATTTCATTATTGTAGCTACCGGCACCATTTATTATGATATCTTTTATTTTTGTTGTTCTGTTAGGTATGTGTTGAAGAGGATTCGCCTGGCCAAGCAAACAGAGAAGTTTAAGCGTACAGCGCACCAAGAGGTCACCTTCTTAAGAAATTTCTTTATGTTTGTTTTAATTAATTAACATGGGAATTGGGGTGAAAGCTGCATAGATTATTCCCTGCTGGATTAGGATTTAAATATTTTAATTTTTAATGTTGATTATCTGCATATCTTTATTGTCTTTTCTGTTCTTCTGGTCATAAAATTAGCTAGAGTAGTTAAATTTCTTTTTCAATATCTTTGTTAGTGTTCAATATCTTATGGTTTAGCGAAACCCTGATCTTAAAATCTTGATTTAAGAAAAAATTTGGTTATGGGGTATCTGTGTTTTGTTCAACAATCAAACCTTTTATTTATGTATGGCTGTTATGTGGCACATCTTTATCTACCCAATGGGATGCTCTATACCCTGAGTTCGCCTCTTTTGCCATTTTCCATCCTTCATTGCCTCTGAAGGTTGTGACCTTTATTTTTTTTTCTTTAATGGCGAGCTGTACTTTTATTTACAAAAAGTTTATAGATATATCTCACATATTCTACTGTTAGATGTAACTTTTTTTATCTTTCCTATAACAAATAATGCACACATGCAAACATAGACCCTATCAAAACACACTTGAAAACTGAATAGAAGCAATGAGATCATAAAAACAAGGCAGTTGGAAACAGACTGATGCTGCTATGATCATCCACCTATACCATCCCCCCCCCCCTCCAAAAAAAAAAAACTATCTATCCATTGAGGAAAATCTGTGGGTATCTTCTCTGACTTCATTTGGTTTGAATGTTAGTCTCAGATAGCCAGTAATCTCATATTCTAAAATTGGGAATAGCCTTCTCACCTGAAGATTTTGGGTTTGAAGACTGTTAGTTGATTGAGAAAAGGTTTATTGTAGTGAGGGACAAAAATACCTTCACTTATCCAAAAATAAAAAAGAACCTCAAATTACTTGTAAAATTGATGCCAAATAAGATCCAAAGTTGTCTAGATAGCTCATCTTTGATATCTAGTAATTTTTTTCATGTCATAAACCAAGAACATCCTTAATTCATCTCTAGGCAGTCCATGTTTGAGAACATGTCTCACACTATGTGCTTTGTTGCATTGCAGATGGAATTGATTGCAAAATTGAATAATCCATATATTGTTGACTACAAAGATGCTTGGGTTGACAAGGTGAAAGGCTTATACCTGTATTAGATTTACATTGGATATGATAGAGTTGCTACATAATATTATATATTATTGAGACCATGACCGACACTTCAGTAATTTGTTAATTTGTCTTCATGCTTCTTAGGGAAACAGCATATACATTGTAACTGGCTACTGTGAGGGAGGGGACATGTAAGTTACTACCATAAAATAATTGTCATTTTTTTTTAATATTTTAATGGAATATTCAAGTGAATTTTTATTCTCATAGACTACAATTTTATAAATTTCGATCTTTTTACATGAGTGGAAAATCTTCCTTAAGTTACAAGAAGTGACATAATTTCTCATCACTAAAGTTAACAAGAAGGATTTTGTGGTCAGCTGGAGATGTAAGTAACATAATTTATCTGGCCAGTTTGGTTAAGAAGTCATTACAAAACTGCATATTTTTATCTTCAACTTTTTAATTTTTCAACCAAACTGTCAATGATGAAAAGAATTGATTTTTCACCTCTAATGATTTTGATTTCATAGTCAACTGTATTGTATGTACTATTCGTCATCAGCTTTAATTGGATTACAACGTAACTAAATAGCAATTGGAAGTCCATCAAGGAAAAAAAAGCAGATTCTGCCTGATGCTTATGAATGACTAATCGGGGCACTAAATTTTTTGTTGGAATCAGGGCTGAGCATATTAAGAAGGCCAGAGGTATGCACTTTCCAGAGGAGGTAATACAATATTACTGCAGTTGAACTACTTATATGCACCTGCTAGAGATGGTATTCACCCGCTTATTGTTCTCTTTGGCTCCTTAGAAAATCTGCAAATGGATGACTCAGTTGTTGTTGGCTGTGGACTACCTGCACTCAAACCGTGTTCTTCATAGGGATCTGAAGGTACTGCTTCTATCCCTATAGTGAAGAAAAGCTCATAATTGGTGATGCTATGGTCTAACTTCTATTTAATCTCAGTGTTCCAACATATTCCTTACGAAGGACAATGACATCCGGCTTGGTATGAAGGCAAAAGGATTACTGTAAAAAGGACTCATGTTCTTTTTCAGGTTTGGCCTCCTTTTTTAATTGTCTTCTAAGATATGTATGTCTTATATGGACTGTACAGGTGACTTTGGACTTGCAAAATTACTCAACACAGAAGACCTTGCTTCTTCGGTATGGACTTGTGCTAATCTCTTCCTTTTTACGAAATTTACTTAGAAAGTTTTCCTTAAAAAACCTCTGACTCCTCAAACTTAGATTGTCTTAGAATTCCTTCATTGCAACAAGCTTTTATTTGCAAGTACTTCTAATGTATTTCTGATTGGAATAAAAACAGTTATTGTTATCAAATGTCTTAGTACTTTTGGTTATAGAATTTGTTAAAACCAGTTTTTAGGGATTCACTCCAATTATTTTCTATGCTGTGCGAATTCTCAATAGGTTGTTGGCACACCCAACTATATGTGTCCTGAGCTCCTGGCAGATATACCTTATGGCTATAAATCTGATATATGGTCACTTGGTAAGAAGTTAAAAGCATGATTCTGAGATACAAAACCTGTTGTACTTTTAACTAGGAGTGACATTTATTATTCTAGGTTGCTGTATGTTTGAGATCGCTGCACATCAACCAGCGTTTAGAGCTCCTGTGAGTTTTTTAACACGAACTATTGTTTAACTATCATAAAGTTGTCTGTAATTTGCTTTGCTATAGATTCAATGGTAAACTAAAGTCATTGACAACTCAACAGGATATGGCTGGATTAATTAACAAAATCAACAGATCCTCCATTTCTCCTCTCCCAATTTTGTATTCCTCCACACTGTAAGCTTTTTATTCCAACTGATTATAAATATCAGCTGTTTCTTGATGATCAGTGTAATGCATATGGTCATTCTTCGATGTGTTTACTTAACATTGCTAATCAATGTTATTTCGGTTCTTTCAAAAATGTCTAACGTACGTAGAAAATGGAATGACTACATGTTGCAGGAAACAAATAATCAAGAGTATGCTAAGGAAGAACCCAGAACATAGACCAACTGTGAGTGCAAGTGACCCTGTGTTTAGCTTTCTAGTTTTAAACACTACTATCAATACTGATTCCACAGCATTCTAATAATTTAGGCTGCTGAACTCTTAAGGCACACCCATTTGCAGCCTCATCTCCTTCGCTGCAGAAACCCATCTTCTGTTTATCTACCAGTAAAGGCCTCAAACAGCCCAAAGGAGAAGACACCTAGAAAATCATTGTCCGGCAAACCTGGCATTCAGAAGGACGGGGGGGTTAAAGATGCTGGAGTATCAAATGGACAAGAAAATATACATGCATTTCAGAGAATGGCTGATGTACACCTAACCAGTTCTAGTTGTGAGAAGCCAACATCCACAGCTAGTACAGAAGACAACCTTGTCACTAAGAGGGTTGATCCTACTAGCTGCGCTGTCGAAATATCTAATTCTACCAGCGATTCCAAAGACATGTCCACTGATTCTGAAGTGAGTATTAACAATGGAGACAAAAAGACTAAGTTTAACAGCATTCCTCAAAAGGATGCTGATGTGGAGTCAACATCAGAGATAGCATTCAATTGTCAGCATGATGAACAAGAAAAACCCATTTCTGAGCACGCTCAAAACTTGCCTGAAGCTGATATCGAGTCTATAAGTCGAAAAGATGAGGAGACTTTTTGTGGCATGCAGGTTCTTGAAGAAACAGCAAAAGAGGTTCTTGACACGCAGGTTCTTGGTAGATCAGGGGATTCCAGTAAACTGACAATCTCCGGTATAAGCTGTGATGATAAAATTGGGTTACCTGATGATGGAAATTCATCTTCTACTTTTTATGAAACTGATGTAGAACGACGATGCTCTTCAAATAAAACAAGTAGTCCTAATGCAAAAACAGAAGGTGCTGACACTAGCTACTTATCATCAGAAAGTAATATTGTACTTCAATGTAAAGATGAAGCAGGAGCAACATCAGAGAATAATACTTGCACTGTTCTAACAGAGAAAGATGGTGCCCGGATCCAGTTGACACCAAGTGATGTGTCGTTACTGAGTAGACTTACAGCCTTGAGTGGTGATGAAATTAAGAGTGTGTGGGAGAATCCAAGTCAGCAAAGAGCTGATGCTCTGGAGTCTCTGCTTGAGCTATGTGCCCGGCTTCTTAAGCAAGACAAAATCGATGAGCTTGCCGGTGTGCTACGACCATTTGGGGAAGAAGTTGTCTCATCTAGAGAAACAGCAATTTGGTTAACAAAGAGCCTCATGTCTGCCCAAAAGTTCACGGGAGGAGCCTAATTTTCGTGATGCGCTTGGCATTAATTTATTCATCATTGTGAGAAAATGTTTTTTTTTTTAATATGTTTGACATAGTGTTTATTTCGAGTGGTGTGGTTGAATTGAAGAAACTCAAGAATCAAACTTATTTTGTATATTGTTGACTCACGGATGGATTTGATGGAAATAATGAAGAAATTCTTGTTACTCTTCGGTGTTCCAAATCAAACTTGTGCATTTGATTGGAAGGCAACTAAAACTTCAAGGGATGAACGGGCGATGTTTAACTTCAAATTTTTGTTAGATGTGCTGCGATGACACTATATCAAAATCGAAATCCAGAAACTATAATGAATTCAGAAGCAACAGTCTCCATCCAATATGTAGTGACAAGCTCATGATTTTGAATTTCTTTCCACTCGAAGGTATGGCATCAGTTTTTTTTTTTTTTTAATATGACTAAAGCTACCCATCAAATAACAGACGAGTCCAGGGTAACTATATACGTGTATAACATGGTTTTCTTTTACGTCTATCCTACATAAAATTCGTTCCTTCTTTCTTTATTATCGGGTGTTGCTGAATTATGTTTCTCATCTCTTAATTTACGAAACATTGAGCCCCATTCATAGCAGTTCCTGATAGCGGATGCTCCCTACATTGAACCCTTCATTTTAACAGAACATGTAATTGATCGAGTTAGACCTAGCAAAGCTGATTTGAATCCGATAACCTAAACCGACCTCTAATGGCCTCACCTCATATTTTTTTAGACATTGTGTAGCATCATTTAAGTCCAATAATTTGCTCGATAGTCGGAAGTATACGACATACAAATAACTTTTTATTGCCAAGTATCACAAGGAATTCAAATTGTCATCATTTACAAATGAAGTGAAGAAGATTCTTCAATAAATTGAACCCAAGTAATCAAATTTGAGCCTACTAATTAATCCTCCATTTTCTTGATCTTCAATACGTGTGTTTTCATAGATTTATGGGCTTACTGCAGATGGTAAGCAAAGAAAGAAACAAGGGAGGCCCCAACCAAGGACCCAAGAACAGGCAAGGTTGCGGATGCGGCGCTGGAGGCTGGACCTGGGGCAGCAGCTGGGGCGTCAGTGGAGGCCATGACTGCACTCATGGAGGCGGCAGCGACAATGACAGCGCAGGAGATCTTCTTCATGTCCATGGCGAAGATGAATAAGCTCACAGAGAGACCTGCCTTATTTGGTGATGAAGATTTTACTATTGATTTTGTGGGTGTTTTTATTTTTTACTTTATTTTTTTCTTGCAGGTCTGAAGGGGAAGGAGGGTGCTAAGGGGATTTTAAAGGTAAGATCCATGGCTATTTTTAGGAAGAAGCAGTTTTCGTCAGCTTAAAAAACGGTTTTACATGTTTGGTTTTGCATGGTTTGAGGATTGAGATTCGCATGCTAAATTTGGAATGCTTTGAAAAGATGAATTCGTGGTATAAACTTTTGTCAAAACCTACATAACATCTTGCTCCTTAAATTTTGCATTTTCCATTAAAATGTAGACTCAATATTCATTCACGAAACCTAAGTTGATACGGACTAATTATTTGCCAATTTTTTTACAAGTAATTTAAAAAAAAAAAATTTCTTATTGCACAATTTCCCTTAAAAAACTGTGTACTTCTATTCATTTTGAGATTTGACAAAGAAAATTGAACAATCCAGACAATGGTTGGTCCACAGGAAGTGACAGGTTTTCTAACTTCAAAGTAAAACAGATGGGACTCAACAGCTAGACTATGTCCCCAACATTTTTCCAGCCCGTTGCTCTTCAACAATGGCAGCTTACCTACTTTTTTGGGTACACATACCTAATTTCATAATTAACGCAATTAAAGCAAAGACGTCACACCTTATTACTTTCCAACAATTATTAATCATTATTAATTATAACTGGATGACTGTGATTATAATAATAATCATCATCTATCAAAGATTCAAAGACACCATTGCTATGAAAAGGACACTTCATGTTCTTAAGTATAGAAGAGATTGATTATATTCGGGGCATTAACCATTTTGATGAAGGAAACTTGGAGAAAAGTCAATTTTTCTTAACAGTTTAATTGAGATCATTAAGTCCTTGTATAAATTATTCAAATTAAATGATTACATTACAAATTCAATGATTTTGGATATTGACATATTGTTCATACACAAGGTGAAATTTCTCTTTGAGATTTAAAAAATTTATATAAAAAAAATGATAACGTGAGAATAAAAAAATTAGGGATATCGAAATTTAAATTTCAAATTTTTTTAATTTTAGTTTTTAAATATGATACATTAATTAATTAAATTAAAATTTAAATACATATTTGAAAATTTAAAAATCTAGATTTTACACAATTCAATTAGTATTTTAGATATAACAACGGAATTTCTTTTAATAAACCAAAATTTTGGTTATAGATTTGATGTTAATTTCCCATCAATGTAGGGAAAAGAAAGAGAGAAAACAACGGTTAAAAGGAAAAAAAAAAGGATTGGGGGTCCAAAAACTTGTTGTGTCCCACGTATCAATGTGAAAGCCCAGCAAAATTTTTACTCCACGGCAAGTGCAGCTGGCCAAAAGGGAATTCTCACCAGTTAGAAAACATAAATAAAAAATAGAATACCCGAAGGCACACTGAACACCTGTATTCCTCCAATTTCTTTAGTCCTCGGATCAAGTTTAGAATGCTACAGAAAAATTCAACAAAAGGCTAAAAAAAAATCTCCAAAATTTTCAGTCAAATAAAACGTTTTGTGGGTCTACACAAGCCGTATCCTAAAAGGCATGGAAAGGAAGTTGTTAGTACAATTTCACATTTGTGCATCCGAAATCTGAAGGAAATTTCACATACCAACGGGACACCTATAAATTCCAACCTTGTTACATTTTCACAATTCATACAAAAACCAAACAATTCTAACCTCAATCTCTCTCTCTCGTCTCTATATTTTGTTAGTGAATTTAAGAGTAATTAGCGTCAATGGCACGGTTTGGGACTTTTGCAGCTCACATTGTTATGGCAATGTTTGTTGTGGCATTATCTTACGTATCCGGGAACATGGCACAGGATATCGCTCCTTCTCCGGCAATGGACACCGGCGCAGGGTTTACTTTACCAGTTTCCGGTGTGTTGTTATGTTCATCCATATTGGTATCTTTAATTTCTTTCTTGTTGCAGTGAATTCAAAGTTTGAAGACAATGACTTGCCACCCTTTCACTCACCGGTGATTTCATGAGGGAGGCCTCTATTCTGCTCAGGGATTATTGGGTGCTATCAATTGTTTGATCTGTTTCAAGTTTTTAGATTTCTTTGTTGTGCTACTACATATATTTGATTTTGTTATGTAATTGAGTGATTGGTTATCATACATGAATAAAAGGGAGTGATCCTATTTCTTTTGCATCATATTATGTGCTTTGGTTTTGTTTCTATGCTTAGTAGTAAGAATTCTCATAGACAAAAAAAAATAAAAAAATTTCATAGAAGTCATGTGGTCGCCAAATGGCTAAATCTTAGCCTGTGTTATTGTCCACGAGGATGAAACTCCCGGTGTGTTTTTTTTTTTTTTAGTCTTTTTTTTCCTCGTTCAAATTTGGCCCCTGCCAAAGTTGCTCGAGCCTATGAGCTCGGTCGGCCCTAAAACATTGTCGCTCCGAGGTGTAGGAGGATCGATTAGCCCATTGTGCCAAACGAGGTGACCTTCTCGTGCCATTAATATTATAAGATTAATTTGAATTGAAAATTAAATTTAAATATTAATTAATAAAATTAATTTAATATTAATTTTTATTAAATTTTTTTATTTATAATTATAACAATAATAATTATTATTTTTAATTTTCTCACAACCAATTTCATTATTCATTCGAATAGAATTTCACCAACAGCATCGATGACCAGGATATGGCTTGGGAGCAGATTGAAAAGCGAGTTGAGAGAGAGAGAGAGAGAACTTTAGATAAAAAGTAGATTGAAAACGAAAAAAGGACAACAGTGTGAGACAATTGATATTTAAGGTCAAAATTAACGTTTTGGAAGGATTGTTTCCTTATAATCATGAAAATATAAGAATCAAAAAATTACTTTTAAAACTTTAAAAATCAAAGCGAATTATGATCTAAAATTTAAAAATCATAACTGTAATTTATTTAAAAATTAAAGATTAAAAGGTTCTAGATAATATTCGTGAGAAATATATACAAAACTTATAGTACCCAAAAAAAAAAAAGCCTTGCTGAAAAGTTCAAGATCCATATTTATTCCCCGTATTGTAGCAAAGAGATTGCAATTTCAAGAATCAAAATTGATTGCTGCAGCATTAACGCGACACAATCCTAAATTCTCGATTTGTTGGCTAGTAAGTAGGCAATGCATTTTTTAAGTGCAAGATTTGGGTTGCTTCCCACTCATAAACTTCAATCTTTGAATGGGTAATAAGTGCATGAAAGAATTAGGATTTAAATCTTAAAGATTTGGGTGCATGAACTTGAAAGAGCCACCTAGGTTTAGTTCATAATTTCTTGGTACTAACTATATATAAAGAAATAAAGAAGAGGAAAAAAATGTATATTATCTTAATTATCCTTGTGCCCTTTACATTGGAAAAAGTTAACATGTTCTATTGAAACCAAGCGATTCAGACCAAAAAACAAAACAAGCAAATCAAAAATATTTTTGTTAATATTTTAATAATAACTTGATCTTGAATTTTTAAAATATCTTCTTAGTTTGATTTGATCATGGATGCTTTTAAGTTTAGATAGACAAATTGAGTCAATAAAATGTTAAATTCAAACTCAAAACTAGTTAAACTTGATTTTAATTGGACTTGATTATAATCACGTAAATCTGATTGAAATTCAAATAAAATTTTAAAATATGCATATATATTATTTTATTTTTAATTTACGAAACATTAAAAAATACAAAAAAAAATTTGATTTAAATCTCAAATCAGTTTGAGTCTGATATTAAAAAACATTAAAACTCAATTCATTATTAAAAATTTTTTTTGAAATGATTACTCAAATTTTTAGTTGACTGTAATCGAACACTATATTAGTTCTATCAAGAAAAATCATTATAAGAGTAATAACATGAATTGATTGTGACCTTTTTCACCTTCAGCCAACCCAAAATTACATGCAGCCCATTGGGCTTACAAACATGGTTTACCCACAAGATTCGTACGAATTATTTTCAATCGAACGTGTCAAATTCCAATTGGCTTCCGCCCACAGACAGCAAAACCTTTCTACTTTACACCGCACAGATGACAATCTCTCCGGTGTTCACTCACCTTATTATAAATGTGAACGTTACCCAGCCGTCACTCTCCCCTCCGTAGGCCCACGCGCCGCCCCCTTCCCCTATAAATTCTCGTCTTTCCCTCAACAACCCAATTAAAAAATCACCAAAAACAAACGTTCTCACAATTTCCAAAGGGAAAAGAGTTTCTCATACCTTCTCTCTTTTAGAAATGGCTCACGTTAGCGTCTTGAAGGTTTTATTGGTGACTTTAGTCATGGCATTCTTAACCGCCTCGGCGCAGGTTAGCGAGGCGCCGTCTCCAGCTCCAGAGGCTGGTGCTGGATTTTCTGTGGGCGTATCTAGCGCTGTTGTTGGCTTCTCTTTGATTGTTCCTCTTCTTTCTTTCTTGAAACATTAAATTTAAGGGCTTTTTGGGCTTTTCCCAATGGGTCATTTTTTTAAATATTTTCTGATTTCATTCGCTGTTATTGGACCACTGTAATGAAGTTGATTTTTTTAATATAAAAATTTTAGTGCGATTTTCTTTGTGAAATTATATTTCCTTTTAGCAATTCTTATTGAGCTTAACTCACTAATATTAATCAAAGCAATATTCCTTAAAAAAAAAATTCAAAGCAATATTCCAGTATGAACTTTGAGTAATTACCAAAAAATTTGAGCAGTGTTGACAAATAATTCGATTATAACCAAATGTCCATGCCTAGCTATGACTAGAGGGAGAAAAAGTTTGACATTTTAAAAAATAAATTTAAGTTGGGATCTCCTGAAAACTATGGGAACCAATGTCATGTTCTCCATAAGGGTCCACGGCAGAGTAAATTCCACTTTATACGCGATCCCCGTAAATCATTTGGGGTTTTTATTGAGTGGTAGTTTTAAATTTGGTGATGTAATTTTTGGTCTTAAAGAGAAGAAAGTTTATCTGGGGATGTACGGTGCATTTGACATTTAAATCAATCAAATATATATATATAAAAGTAAATTGGAGAAAATGACGAAATAGAAAGCAAAGAGAATGT